GCGCCTCCTTCTTCCTCTGCTCCTCTCCCTGCTTGTTCTCTCTCTCTCTCTCTCTCTCTCAAATAAATGAGTAAATAATCTTTGAATATATATATATGTAATAGTAATAAATAAAAACACATTTTTAAAAAGAAAAGAAAGGAAAAAAACAAATGAGGAATCTAGGACTGGAGCGGGGCTGTGCCGGGGTCTGGACAGCAAGAGGGGGCTGGGCTGTGGGTGGGACTGAGGAGCCAGAAATAAGTCCAGAGACGTGCTCTGGATGCCGTGAACCCCAGCAGCTGGCAGATACAGGGTGACTGGGGAAGGACAGGTTAAACGGTTGCTGAGGATCACACCGCTAGGAAGAGACAGTTTTGAGGGAGGACACACAAAAACTCACTAATGGAGATAAATAATAGTGTAATGTTACGTTTTTAAAAATCAAACTTGCCAGGGCGCCTGGGTGGCTCAGTGGGTTAAAGCCTCTGCCTTCGGCTCAGGTCATGATCCCAGGGTCCTGGGATCGAGCCCCACATCGGGCTCTCTGCTCAGTGGGGAGCCTGCCTCCTCCTCTCTCTCTGCCTGTCTCTCTACCTACTTGTGATCTCTATCTGTCAAATGAATAAAAAAAAAAAAATCTTTAAAAAAAAAAAATCAAACTTGCCAAAAAAAAAAAAAATCAGACAGCAACTAGACAGCCCACAGGCGGGCCGTCTGTTTTTATAAATAAAGTTTCATTGGAACCAGGGCCAAGATCAGGGTGAGTCACGGGTGATAGGATGGTTTGTGCAAGTGCAAGATTGGACCCTGCCTTTCTTTAAAATTTTATTCATGATGGATGGTTGTGCATCAGCTTCCTTTTTTTTTTTTAAGGTACTCTCTACACCCAACGTGGGGCTCAAACCCACGACCCCGAGATCCAGAGTCACCGAGCCAGCCAGGCGCGCCATCAACTTTTTAAATATTGCATTAAAATATCCACTTTCTTGAACACTGAGTTTGGGGGCACCTCTGATTTTACACCCGAGGCAAAACTGTCTTCCTCACCCCCCAGCCCCAAGCCTAGCCCGGCAGTGGTGTGGGACCAGATCAGACAGATGGGAGGCCTTGACGCAGCACTGATGGCCACACCACGCCCCGGCAGACAGGACGCCCCCGCAGCTGCTTGGGGTGCGGCCTCTGAGGTCAGCAAGTTCATCTTGTCTGACTCTGACTTAGTCTTTTCCCATCTTGACCCAGGGAGCCACGGGGGGCTCCAGAGCTGCCCCAAAGCGCCAGAGGTTGAGGGGTTGGGAAAGGGAGCCGGCACCCGAGTTAGGAGCCAGAAGACTTTGGAGATACACCATGCCTTCTTCCGCCTTTTCTCTGGGCCTCAGTTGCTCCATCTGTGCAATGGGCACTAAACAGCACTGAGTTCAGATCAGAGGGGCAGGAGTTGTGCAGGGCAACCATGTCACGGTTGCTGGCATCCACCAGTGCCTCCCCAGGGAAAGCCCCCATGGGCACAGTCCCATGCCAGCCTCCAGCCCAGCACCTGACTTTGGTTACGGGAAGAGAATGCAACAAAATTCAGTAAGCAAGACAAATAATATTTCAGCATAATTTTTTTTTCAGCATAATATTTTTAAAATTCAAATTGGCAGGGCGCCTGGCTGGCTCAGTCAGAAGGGCACACAACTCTTGATATCAGGGTCGTGAGTTCAAGCCCCACACTGGGTGTAGAGATTACTAAAAAAAAAATACAAATAAATAAATACAATTTAAGAGATAAAATTCCAGGGGCGCCTGGGTGGCTCAGTCATTAGGCATCTGCCTTCGGCTCAGGTCGGGATCCCAGGGTCCTGGGATCAGCCCTACATCGGGTTCCCTGCTCTGTGGGGAGTCTGCTTCTCCCTCTCCCACTCCCCCTGCTTGTGTCCCCTCTCTCGCTGTCTCTCTCTCTGTCAAATAAATAAATAACATCTTTTTTTAAAAAAAGAAAAGACAGATAAAATTCCAATTGGTGAACTGTGATAGCCTCCAAGCTAGCCATCGGTTTTTATAAATACAGTTTCGGTGGAACAAAGCGCTTGGGCTCAGATCTTGTTTCCTACCTTACCTGCCTGATTTTGCTTTTCCCAACCTCCGTTTTTCACCTGGGAAATGGAGAGAAGAGCGACCCCTAGGTCACGTGTTTCCCGTTAAGATTAAATGCAGTAATGCACATAAGTGCTTTCAGCAACAACTGCCACTCAGGGAACACTGAATAGTAACAATGATCATTATCGTTGGCAGTTGCTATTGTCATAGTATTCGAAATTTCTTTTAAGTTTATTTAAGTAATCTCTACACCCAACGTGGGGCTTGAACTCATGACCCCAAGATCAAGAGTCACATGCTCCACCGACTGAGCCAGCGAGACACCCCATGAAATTTTTAATCAAAGGAGCAGACACTTGGGGTGCCTGGGCGGCTCAGTCAGTTAAGCTCACTCAGTCGACTCTTGATTTCGGCTCAGGTCACGATCCCAGAGTCCTGGGATGGAGCCCCGTGTCGGGCTCCCCGCTCATCGGGGAGTCTGCTTCTTTCTCTCCCTCTGCCCCTCCCCTCCTTCCCTCTCTCCCTCTCTCTGTCTCAAATGCATAAATCTTTTTTTTTTTTTCAGATTTTATTTATTTATTTGACAGAGGTCACAAGCAGGCAGAGAGGCAGGCAGAGAGAGAGGGGGAAGCAGGCTCCCTGCTGAGCAGAGAGCCCGATGCGGGGCTCGATCCTAGGACCCCGGGATCATGACCTGAGCCTAAGGCAGAGGCTCTAACCCACTGAGCCACCCAGGCTCTTTAAAAAAAAAAAAAAAAGGACAAAGAAAAAGGAGCAGACCCTCGTAGGAGGAAGCCCTCACCGGCACACATGCTAAGAATCAACGGGAACCAAGTTCAGGCCTGTGGTGCCAGGCTTGTCCCAGGCACTCTTCATCTATAGACCCATTTCGGCCTCACAACAATTCCTTGATTTATTCGCCAGGGACTAGTGTCATTCCTGTTTTCCAGCTGAGGAAACTGAGGCACCTGGCAAGGACACCGCCAGCAGCGATCCCACACCCTGTAAATGGTACCGCCTGGGTCCCAACGGAGCCAGTCTGGCTCAGGCTGTCCAGGCCCTTCCACCGTGACGTGCCGTGTCCTCCTGATGTGCAAACTGCCCAAGACACACAAGCACACACTGACAGCTACGGTCCTTCTCGCTCCTTCTGTCACACTCCCGACTGCCATCCTGAGAGTCCCTCTCACACCCTGACCCCATGACCGGTGTAGATGACCTCAGCCACACACCCTCAGTCACAGGATGTCACAGCCGCTGTCATGCCTCGACCTCCTCACAGGCACACAGCACGCTCATCTCTCTGTCACAGACCAGTTCCTGAGGACACCAGAGCCTGGTGCCCGATGTCTCTCCCTTGGAATTTTTCCAATGATACAACCCCTGAAACCATAGCGGCAGGTGGAAGGAGACCCCAGTCTTACAAGGACAGACGGATGCCTGAGGCCCAGGACAGGAAGGGACCTGCCAAAACAAAGAACAGCAAAATGGTGGCTGAGCAGTGGGGTTCTCCTGCTAAGGTTGCTAAGAGACCCGGCTTTTCCCTTTACCCATCTTTAGTCCTTTAGTGCCTGGGCTGGACTCCAGTTTCAAGAAAAATGTGGGGGAATCTTCCCTTTCCCCTTGCTGCCCCTCACTCAGCTTGGACCCAAGAAGAGAGTGGGGAGACAGAAGGGGGCTCCCACACCTCATCAGGGGCCAGACCCCTGCTGGGAGCTGAGGCCCTCGGTTTCCCCGCCAACAGCGCCCCACTACTGCTACCTGCATTCACTCCAGACTTTTTTTTTTTTTTTAAGATTTTGCTTATTTGTCAGAGAAAGAGAGAGCATAAGCAGGCAGAGCGGCAGGCAGAGGGAGAAGCACATTCCCCACTGAGCAGGGAACCCAAACTCGGGACTCGATCCCAGGACCCTGGGATCATAACCTGAGCCAAAGACAGATGCTTAACCAACTGAGCCACCCAGGAGCCTCTCCCTCCAGACTTTCTACCACCAGACAAGCATTTAGGCCCAGAGCAACTTACCCGGCTGCCCTCCTAGAGGGGCTGATCCAGCTCCAAACTCTGCCTTCCTCCTCTCTCATTCTCTCTCTCTTTCTATCTTTCTATCTCTGTGTCACACACAGACACGCATGCACGCGCACTCACACATACACCCAGGGAAACATGCAGACACGGCAACGTAACCTCCCAGTTATCTTCTCTAGAGCCTTGCCACGGCCTTCCCATCTCGCCTTATTTGATGGAAGAATCCTGCTGGAGCTCCACATGCTCAAAGTAAAAGAGAGACGTGGGTTCTAGCCATACTCACCTCCTCTGTCACTGTGGCCTGCTCTAGTGGCCGCTTGGAGCCACGGCTACCTCGGGGAAATGGGGAGCCTAAGAGACCTTCCTCCTAGAGATGTACGACAGTTAAATTAGGTAATTCAGTTAAGTGCTTAGTGCTGTGTCTGGCATGTAGTAACTACCTAGTAAATGAGAGCTTTAATAAAATTGACTGAAGTGCTTTGAAAATTTGGCAGTATTGTATACAAAGCGAGTCTCCCGACTCCTGCCACAGGAGTGAAGCAAGACAGGAATTAGTAGCAATTTCCCAATGAGAAAATTGAGGCTGGGAGTCTGAACGGTGAAGCCGGAAGGAGGACTCCATCTCTGGATTCCAAATCCCCACCCCCCAGGGCTGCTGGCACATCCATTCACGGCTGGGAAAGTGCCTTATGAATGACTGAGAGTGGCCACGGGTGAGAAGGGATGATGTCTCACCTGAGGGTCCAAGAAGGCAGAGGCCGTGTCCCCAGCGCCTTCCGCCCCAAGCTATCAGAGACGAGCAGCAACCCAACCAAAGCTCGTGTCCTCTTGTTCCAGGTGATGACCTCCCCCTGAGGAAGCCCTGTACTGCGACTAGAGGAAGGGGCTGCCCCCCCCACCCCAGCCCACCACCATGAATACCTCGGCCCCACCCGCCGTCAGCCCCAACATCACCGTCCTGGCACCAGGAAAAGGACCCTGGCAAGTGGCCTTTATTGGGATCACCACAGGCCTCCTGTCCCTGGCCACAGTGACAGGGAACCTGTTGGTCCTCATCTCCTTCAAGGTCAACACTGAGCTCAAGACAGTCAACAACTACTTCCTGCTCAGCCTGGCCTGTGCTGACCTCATCATCGGTACCTTCTCCATGAACCTCTATACCACGTACCTGCTCATGGGCCACTGGGCTCTGGGCACCCTGGCCTGCGACCTCTGGCTGGCCCTGGACTACGTGGCCAGCAACGCCTCCGTCATGAACCTGCTGCTCATCAGCTTCGACCGCTACTTCTCCGTGACCCGGCCCCTGAGCTATCGAGCCAAGCGCACACCCCGCCGGGCGGCCCTGATGATCGGCCTGGCCTGGCTGGTCTCCTTCATCCTGTGGGCTCCGGCCATCCTCTTCTGGCAGTACCTGGTAGGGGAGCGGACGGTCCTGGCCGGGCAGTGCTACATCCAGTTCCTCTCGCAGCCCATCATCACCTTTGGCACAGCCATGGCCGCCTTCTATCTCCCGGTCACGGTCATGTGCACGCTCTACTGGCGCATCTACCGGGAGACGGAGAACCGGGCCCGGGAGCTGGCGGCCCTGCAGGGCTCCGAGACGCCCGGGAAGGGGGGCGGCAGCAGCAGCAGCTCTGAGCGGTCCCAGCGGGGGACGGAGGGCTCCCCGGAGACCCCTCCGGGCCGCTGCTGCCGCTGCTGCCGGGCACCCAGGCTGCTGCAGGCCTACAGCTGGAAGGAAGAGGAGGAAGAGGACGAAGGCTCCATGGAGTCCCTCACGTCCTCCGAGGGGGAGGAGCCCGGCTCCGAGGTGGTGATCAAGATGCCCATGGTGGACCCCGAGGCCCAGGCCCCCGCCAAGCAGCCCCCCCGGAGCTCCCCCAACACGGTCAAGAGGCCAACCCGGAAGGGGCGTGAGCGGGCGGGCAAGAGCCAGAAGCCCCGGGGGAAGGAGCAGCTGGCCAAGCGGAAGACCTTCTCGCTGGTCAAGGAGAAGAAGGCGGCTCGGACCCTGAGCGCCATTCTGCTGGCCTTCATCGTCACCTGGACGCCGTACAACATCATGGTGCTGGTGTCCACCTTCTGCAAGAACTGTGTTCCCGAGACCCTGTGGGAGCTGGGCTACTGGCTGTGCTACGTCAACAGCACCATCAACCCCATGTGCTATGCGCTCTGCAACAAAGCCTTCCGGGACACCTTCCGCCTGCTGCTGCTCTGCCGCTGGGACAAGCGTCGCTGGCGCAAGATCCCCAAGCGCCCGGGCTCTGTGCACCGCACCCCCTCCCGCCAGTGCTGAGGGCCCCTAGCCGGCGTCCAGGCCCGCCACCCCAGGCCCTGGGACAGCCGGGCAGGAAGGAAGCGGGCAGGGGCTGCGACCTCAGACCCAGGGCCCTGCTCTGTCCTCACCAGGCTTCCGGCGGGGGGGCAGGGGGGAGCCGTAGGTCACCTTCCTGGACGGCCCAGACAGACCCTGCCAGCTTTCCAAACTGTTGCTATTCCTAGGCAGGGAACGAACCTGTACCGGGGGAACTGGTTTTTCTGTTCCCTGCTGGGTGGGAATGGGCTGTCACCAGGAAGAAGGCAGGGGAGAGGAGGATCCAAGCTTTTAGATCCCTTGTTTGCCTTCAGGCAGGAAATCTGTGGGGAGCCAGCAGGCCCGGCCAGGAGTAAATAGGTTCACATTTCAGTCATCCCTGGCCCAGGGGCTGGCCCCATGGGGATGGCAGTGGGAGATGGTACCCCCCCACCCCACACCCCCACCCCCCACCCACCCCCAGCCCCGGGCCAACAGCAGGAGCTGATGCCAACCACTGAGAGGAAAGCTTGGCTCCAAGGCAGCACCCCCTGGCTGGATACTGGGTATCCCCTCCCTCCCCGGGCACAGCCCCCCCACCCCCCCACTCCCCACTCCACCCCACCCCACCCCTGCCGCGCCGACACTGGGTCCTAGGCACACTCTCCAGGGTTGTCTAGCCTCCCTACAGATGTCCCCAGAGTGTCCCCACAGCAAGTCCAAGCATCAGCAGGACAATGTCACCAGAAGAGACCAGCTTGGCTGCCGTCACACACCAGAAGCAGGACCAGGCTCCAGGTGTTCTGACTGTCCCACTCTGTCGTTTCCCTGGGAATGAGGGGCAGGGGTGCCTGCTGTCCAGCCCCACACCCATACCCTCTGCCCCAGAGAAACCCTCGGTCCCTCCCTCCCTCTCTGGCTCACAGCCGCCACCTGGATGGATCTGCTCCACACAGGCCTAGCCAGGTCTCCCGCATGCTGCCTGCGTCCAGCCTGCCCCACACAGGCCTGGCCCAGCCGACGGGTCCTCTCCTGTGAGCTCCCAGTCCAACCCATGCATGGCCTCCCAGCCGCCCTTATCTCCGGACCCAGCCTGGCCCCACCCCCCATGTTCTTTCCTTCTATTCTCAGCAAGTGCTGAGTCTGTGAATAAAGCCACATACCCAGAGGGCAATCTGAGGCCTTCTTCCCTGTGTTGGATGGTGGGCCTGGGCTTAGGCCAGGGCAGAATGGGCCAGAGAGGGCCCAAGTACTGTGGAACAGGAGGTCCCGGGAGGAGCAGCACTGAGTGTCTGGATCTCCTGAAACCCGTGGGCCCCAGCACTCCAAGGTCCCCGGCTCAGGTGAGTAGGGCGCTCATGGGCGGTAGGGAGGCCAGGTAAAATACATTGCCCTTGCCCGTAGCCCAGCATATTCTCTATCAGCTTTGTCATGTGTGCCTGCTCTGGGGGCCTACTAGAACCACAGAGAGTAGAACTGCTCCAAGGCCCCATTTACAGATGGGGAGACCAGGACCCGCTGACCCAGGAGGACCATTCAGGGTTAGCCCACAAGGCAACACCCAGTCTTCCAGGCAATTCACAGCCTCCTGACCCGTGGACTAGGGAGAGGGGACACTAGGGGTCCAGGCCAAAGCACTCCATAAAGGAGACCCTCAGACCAGGTTCTAGGCATCTCATGGGTGAGGGGGCTCTAAAGCTTAAAGCAAAGGAATCTTCCAGAGGTCAGCCCCACAGCATAGAGTAGTGGTTCTCATTGGGGGTCCTCAGGAGCACACTTAGGTTCAATGATTTGCTAGAAAAACACACATAACTCAGCAGAGCTGTTACACTCATGGTTAAAATCTATTACAGTAAAAGGATATAAATTAAAATCAGCAAAGGAGAGGCGCCAGGGTGGCTCAGTCGGTTAAGCATCCAACTCTTGATTTGTGCTCTGGTCATGATCTCTGGGTTGTGGGACGGAGCCCTGCGATGGGCTCCACACTGGGCACATGAAGCCTGCTTAGGATTCTCTGTCCTTCCCCTGCTCTCTCTGTACACTGACTCCCCCTCTTTAGGGGAAAAAAAAAAAAAATCAGCAAACGCTAATAACACTTAAGGCAGAGTCCAAAAGAGACCAGGTGCAAGCTTCCAGTAGTCCTCTCCCAGCAGGAGTCATGGTGTCATTTAAGAAGTCATTTAAGCCTTGCATGTGTGACAACATGCATGAAAGATTACCAACCACAAAGCTTACCTGAGCCTTGGTGTCCAATGTTTCTACTGGAAATTGCTCATGTAAGCCTGGCTGATCCACTTGGCTGGCCTTAGTTACTCAGTGTCCAGCCCCTCCAGAGGCTAATCTGATACCACGAGGCCCACGGCCCCCAGGTAAACAAAGACACTCTTATCAGGTGGGATATTCCAAGGGCCTGGGGTGATCTCCCACGACCCGACCCGAGTCGAGGACCAAACCTTTCTCCAGAATGTGCCGGGTTTGGACCACCTAGCCCTCCTGAGTTAATCCTTGAAGACACCGCTGTCCTGACCAGTAGCATTAGTATCACTCAGGAACTTGTTAGATCTCTAAGTGGGGTCACCCCAGAGGTACTGATCCAGAAACTCTAGGGGTCGAGCGAGCCCAGCCTGTGCTTCAACAAACCCTCTGGGTGTGCTGATGCAGGCTAAAGTTTGAGAAACGCTGGTTAAAGGAATGAGGTCCTGGGTGGGCTGAACTTTTTACAGAGAGGGCATAGAAGGTCACCCCCCCACACAGCAGTCAGGACCCCAGAAGCCTTCAAAAGGGAAGCTTCCCACACTATGTCACCTCTAGACGCTGGGAGCGCCCATTCCTCACCACTGCTCCCTTGTAGCCCTGAGCCCCCTTTAGGGTTCAACGCCCGGCCCTGTGGCAAAGGCACTGGAAAAGCAGTCTTGGTGGCAGAGAGAGCAAGGAAGCTGAGCCTTAGGAGGAGAGGAGCTCTGGAATCCAGAAGCCAGGAGAGGGAGGTCAGGAGTTCGCATCAGGAATGGGGCTAGTGGTTCACAATTGTCCCTTGTCTCAAGCGCGAGTCCTACCTTGCCCATGGCCCCCACCAGGCAACCCTAGGCAAGTCTCTTATTTTCAGTCTCCTCAAGGGGAATGAGCTCCTGGCAGAAGAGGGAAGAGGGCTGGAGAGATTAGGAAGAAAGCCCCTCCCAGGCTCTGCGAGCAGTGACCAGTGTTACCAGAGTTCGAGGCTATTCCGGACACACACATTTCCCTACACCTCCAGCCGAGGCTTTATGGAGTCCAGAGGCCCATCCCCCACCCCGGCCTGGGAAGGGGTGTTGTGGGGGGGAGAAGCGGGTCTTGCAGAAAGGAGTGTCAGGGGGCAAGGCTGGGTAGGGGACAACTTGCAGTCCACGAAGGCAGCATCCCAAACATGCGGCCTGGGTCCTGCAAGCCTCTGTAGCAGGAGTCCTTCAAAGCCAGCTGCCAGAAGATGGAGGAAATGGCTTGAGGCTGACAGGAGAAGGTGGCTGGATATGGCATCAGTCCACCCCAAACATCCCAAACCACCCCCCCACCCCCACCACCCTGCCCTGAAGGTGTCCTCCTTGGCCCTAGGAACAAGGACTGTTTCCAACGTGAACAGGAAGTGAGGAAAGAATGAGGTGGCTTTGTGAATGCCACCTCCTGCCCCTACCAAGTTGGAGCAGGCCTAGAGAAGGGGCACCGGGTAGGACTTTGTCGTCCACGCCACCCCGCGGTTCTCACCGTGTCACTTGAGCGCCATCTGCGGGCAACCGAGGGAATTGTCCTGCGGAGAATCGGCGCTTAAAACCTGCCAGGGGTTCTTCCCAGAGACCAGGACCCCAAGGCAAAAGATAAAGTAGATCGTTGGCCACCTCAGCAACTGCCCCACATCTCGGCAGGAACCCGAGGCCCCGGAAGGACCAGTTCACTTGGCTACTAGGCTAAACCTGCTGGGGCAAGCCTGACCTCTCTCCTGTATGCTAGCTTCACCAGACAAGTAAGAGATGGATGGGGGTTGGTGCTTGGCATGGAGGGACAGCCCCCCCCTTGTTCTCCCAGTGCCTCCCCCAGGCTTTTGGAATCATCAGTTTCATTCCTTGGAGCCAGGCTCTGCTTGTACAGAACAGACACTGATCCAACTGGACATTTAGACAGGTACCACCTACCTTTACAGCACAAAAGCCTTTGGAATGGCAGGTGTCCCACACCAGCCGCAAGCTCCAAAGACTTTGAGGTGATGTCTTTGTTCTTTGCTTCTTTAACACACACAAACTGCGTAACTCCAGGAATCAGACTATCACACAAAATAAGCCTGAAAACTACTGTCACTCTCCCCGCAGGTCCTACAGGTCCCTGTACGCCCCCAGTTCTACTCCCCCTCCCGGTGTTCCTGGCCTGGCTAGCACCACCATCCACGCAGCACTCGATTCAGAAATCTCTGCGTCATCTTGGACTCCTTTTCCTTCTCAACTCCCTGTACCAGTTGGTCAGTCCACCTCCTGAACAGTTCCTAAATTCGTCCAGCGCTCCCTGTCTGCCCATCACCACCCTAATGCAAGAGTGCCTGAAATGCTTGAACTACCCCTTAATTCAGGGGTTAACAAACCTTTTCTATAAAGGGCCAGATAGTAAATATTTTAGGTTCTGTGGACCAAGAGGCAAAATTAAGGATAATATGCAGTTACTTACATATTATAGTCGCTGTCACAACTATTCGGTTGTGCCATTGTAGGAAAAAGCAGCCATAAACAATACCTAAGTGAATGAACATGGCCGTGTTCCAATAAAACTTTATTTAAATTCCACTGAGCTTTGAATTGCATATAATATTCATGTGTCACAAAACCTTATTCTTCCTTTGATTTTTTTTTTCTGGCCATTTAAAAATGCAAAACTCATTCTTAACTTACAATGGGTACAAAACCAGGCCAACCAGCCGTAGTTTGCCAACCCCTGACTTAATTGACCCCATTCCCGTTCATTCTCCATGCTTCAGCCAAGGGGAT